TTCAGGTGATAAATTCACGATGTCCAGTGGTCTAAAGTACACAGACAAATTTGGCTCAAGTTTTAGCTCCCTGGTTATAGACCGGATAACGATATTAAGAAAGTTGAAGTATCTGGATACAGCTAAAGGTGCAGGGCCAGATGGCATCCCGCCAATTTTCGTAAGAAATTGTGCATCTCAATTAACAACGCCATTGCACATCATTTTTACCACATCGATTTCTTCTGGAATATTTCCAGATGAGTGGAAATTTGCTAAAATCGTACCCCTTCATAAATCGGGTTGCAAGGACAACGTGAAAAAAAAAAAAAACAAAAAATCAATTTCGATCATTTCCACGACGGCAAAGGTGTTTGAATCTATTGTTTGTCCTTGCATTCAAAACTTTTTAGTCCATACCTATCCAAACATCAACACGGATTTGTCAAGTCAAGATCTACTTCGACGAACTTGGTTACGTTTGTTGAACGCCTAGCTGAGGCAATTGACCATCACCAGCAGGTAGATGTTATTTATACAGACTTCAGCAGGGCGTTCGATAAAGTACCTCACACTATACTAATGAGGAAGCTATCTGTGTATGGATTTACTGGCAATCTTTGTGAATGGATTCATTCTTATCTCATTAATCGTTTTTCCTATGTAGTGGTGAATGGCTTTAGGTCAAAATCTTTTCCCACCTTTTCTGGTGTACCACAGGGATCGCATCTTGGACCCATCCTTTTTAACATTTCTATCAATGACCTACCCGGCTGCCTCTTGCACTCTGAACCATACATGTACGCTGATGATCTAAGAATCTCATGAACTATAAATAGTATTCACGACGTAGCTCTTTTACAACAGGACGTAGAACACATAAGCCAGTGGTGTAGCAACAACCAGATGCACCTCAATACTGGCAAATGTTACCACATTAAGTTCAGCCGCAGGCTGAAGCTTGTTGAATCTGAGTATTTTATAGAAGGTATACCAATACAAGAAGTTGATACAATAAAGGACTTGGGAATATTTTTTGATAGAAAGCTCACTTTTCAACCTCATTTGGACCATATCAGTATGAAAGCATCCAAAATGCTGGGGTTTGTCATAAGAAATGCTAGGGTGTTCCGAAGGCCTCAAACTAAGATACTCTTATTCAACACTTTGGTTCGTAGTATACTCGAATACTGCCCCACCGTTTGGAGACCCCATTATTCCACTCATATTTTGAGGTTAGAAAGAATTCGGAAGCGTTTCATGTGACATTTGGCATTCACCGTCGGAATCGCCAAAACTAGTAAGAGGTATGAAGAGAGACTGTCATTCTTGAAGGTACCGTCGCTTGAAAAGAGAAGAACACTTTTGGATCTGAATTTCTTTTACAAGTTATTGCACAACCATCTGGATTGCTCAGTGCTGCTCGAAAGGGTGAAGCTTAACGCTCCCAAGCGTCTTCCGCGTAAACCAATGGCTATAATGGCACAGCCATTTAGAAGCACAGTTTTGGGATATAATTCACCAGTTCCCAGAACGTGCAGAGCTCTAAATGAATATTGCACGGATTCAATTGACGTTTTTGAGATCAAATATCATAAATATCGCAGAGTCTGCTCATCATATCCTCTGGGAATGTAGTCTTTGGTATAATGAACGTAATATAATGCTGAATAGCTTGCAGGTGACATCTGGGGCGGTATACTATGGGGATCTTGTGTCAACTAGGGTGAATTTCCGTGCGTTTAGGTGATTCTGCCATACATATTATAGAAATCAAACATAACTCACGTAGGACCCGTAATATTTGTGGCCGTGGTGCTCCCCTGTTTAAAAGGGTGTATGCCCATTTTACTTCATTTTGTCTCCCGCTTTGCTAAGGAGGGAAGTGGATTTACTGTATTTCCAACTCCTCCAATTTTCTTCTGATTAATTTCGTTGCGGGTTCCAAGACAGTTTAATTTCTTCCTGGGACTTCCCGAGTGTCATAACTCGGTGTGTTCGTGGGTCACTGCTGTGGATCCTGGTGTACAGGAGTTACAGTGGTGGGCGTGTGGGTGGGATTAGTCCCAAAATATCGCAGAGTATGGTGTGAAAACTTACCCAATTAGCTACCAACCTAATAAATGCCTCCTAATGCTCTAAATATTTCTTGTTTTTTTTTCTCTCATTACATTTTTAACTTACAGCTTACATTCTATTGAACACTGTTTTTTTTTTTATTGTTTTTAATTTTATTATTCTAACTCGATTTGATGTATTGTAATATGTTGATACTTTGGAATTTCTATTGAATTTGTAAATAATCAACATAATTGTGAATATAATAACAATTATCATTGTAACTGAACTATATAATTACTTAATATTATGTAATTTTAGAGACGATATTATTGTGCATGTTGTATTCATCTGTTATTAGTTATGCAATTAGTTTTAAGCGAATAATTTTGTATCCCCTGTAATGAATTATTGTATGTAACTGTTGGTGAATTAAATAAATAAATAAATACCAATAGTCCCTTCTAGTCTGTTTGAAGTCGGTGCCATGCTAAGAGGAATTGTTCGGACTAATACCAGCCGCAACTTTCCGCCGTCTTTCCACACGGCAAAATTTTCATCCTCATCACCTGGATAGTTGGCGCTCCACTACTGTGCGCTTTTCGAGACACTTTTTGCCTCGCACAGCCAATATGTGGAACGGGCTATCGTCTGCGGTAATTCCGGACAGATTCGACCTTCAAACCTTCAAGAAAAGAGCGTACTCCTTCCTAAAAGCCCGCAACGCGTTTGTAACTCCTGATTTGCAGACGGTCATGGGCGGCGATGGTCATAATTAGTATTATTAGTGTAATACAGTTTTTATCTGGACTGCAATTTTCGTGTGTTAATTGATTCATCAGTAGAGTAGTGCATCACAAGGACAACCTTGTAACACTTGAAGTTGTCGCACTTCACCTATCACACTTTAACGCCATGATTGATAATATATATTGATATAAAATAACCACATGTTATCGACTTTTCCGCATTATCCTACAAGCAGTCAAGTACAGAACACGCACGCCTATTTAAATTAAAATGGAAGTAAATTTCACAAATAAAGTAGTGTTAGTGACCGGAGCGAGCGCGGGAATTGGAGAAGCGACGGCAATATTGTTCGCGAAGTTAGGAGCTAGCTTGTCTCTAGTCGGTAGGAATGAACAAAACTTACGGGCGGTGGCGGACCAGTGCGAGAAGGAGTCGGGGCTGAAACCGCTGGCCATTGTCGCTGATCTAGGAACTGACGAGGGCGTGGAGAAGACTGCTAAAGAAACGATAGAACATTTTGGAAGGTATGGAGTAGTCTTTGACTGCGAATTATATTTTAGTATGTTATTATAAACGGAATTAATTATAGAAATAACATATCTAGTGAAAATGGCCATCAATAAAAAACATATAAAAAGGGCAGTTTCGAAACCGAAGGTTTAATTTTCTACAAAAATCAGTCAATATTATAAATAGCTATAATGCCTAAAATAAGATAAATCTAATCGAATAAGATAAATCTGATCTAATCGAGTCTATCAGTATTTGCTAAGCTTTTCTTGTAATCCAGCTTCCAAAACGTAAATTGCTTATGCTAATGTGTTTTAAAAGTAAAATCCTACCTCGCTGATTGATTACATACTTAAAATAAAGACAAAAAAAAATGTGATATAATTACAAATGTATAGTATTCCGATTTTTCCATGTACTTGTAGTATAAGACGATGTTGTTTTTTTCTCATCTCCAAGGAACTGTAAACCTGAGTATATGGTTTTAATTTCAACTGCATACCCCCACGCGTTCTTGACAGAGTGACGGACAGACCAAACGGACATCAAAGTTCCGCTCTTCTTTTGTTTGCCTTTTTCTCTTGTTTTGGTATCAGCTTCATCTTAGCAAATACTGATGGAAACGCTAACATTTTTAGAAGTTTACGATATAGTTCTAACATTTGTATTCTTTGCATATATAACCGTATTAATATGTATATCCATTGAGTGGTTTTACCGGACCGAATAATCAAAATTAAAAAAAAAACGGCAGAAGGCATCCATGGACTCTCAGAAACAAAACAAAGTTCCTTTCGCTCTTTGGTAGACGTTTGCTATATATATGAAATATGAAAAAGATGTGAAGATTGTCTTCACGCCAAAGAAAGTGTCGGCAAAAAGTCTTGTTACACATTTTTCATCCGCTCAGAGCATATAACCCACGATAAGGTGTCGTAAGAGCCGATTAAGGGAGCAAACTACGCAGGACACCAGCACCTCAAAAAGAAGGAAAACCTGAGACAAACCCTATACCAACCCGTCTGGCCACCGTGGTATTGCAGGGCAAAACCTCCTTTCTAAGGAGAGGCCTATGTCCAACAGTGGACTATTAAAAGCTGTTGATTGATGATGATGAAGATATCTACTTATTCTTGTTTTGTATAAACTATGAAGCAAAATTTAATATGCGAACTGTAACTTACTTTGCATGTGTTAAATAATAACATTACTTTACACAAATTATATTTACTTATACAATGCAGACGAGGATTATTAACCTTTTCTAATTAGACTTGTGAGTTACTGATCAACGACAACGGTTATTGGTTGTTCAACAACGAACCAAAGTTTCCATCCTTTCCAAATTTCTTCTCCTAATTGCATTAAAGATTTTATACGTAACAAGTCGCCTATTATACGGACTTAAGGCAATTCATTCGCTGTAATATCCATGAAAATGGACAGAAAATGGTAAACATTTATACAAAATATATTTTACTTTCAGATTAGACGTGTTGGTGAATAATGTCGGCGTCGGCGGCCGAGGAACCATCCTGGAGGCCGATATGGCGACTTTTGACCAGGTCTTCAAAGTCGACGTCCGTGGCGTGTACAACCTGACGAGGCTCTTGGCCCCACACTTGCTGAAGACCAAGGGTAACATCGTCAACGTGTCAAGCATCGTAGCAACGGTGGTTTATATCGGCTCTTTACCTTACAGTATGGCTAAGGTAAAAAATATTCAATTTCAACTCTCATCTAACGCCTTCTGAAATAACACCACCCTAAGTTTTGACTGTCAGGGAGACCTACCTAGACCAAAGATGGCCGCAAGTGATGGTCATAGTCTGTCATTGTCTGGATATCGCCCAGTCAACCACTTAACTGGCTTTCGCTAGGCAGCTATGGCAAATAAAGTCAATTAAAGAAGTCAAAAATCGTATAAATTAAAGAAGTTTAACTAAGTTAGCCATTCTAAAAACACCAATAAAAGGAATGTCTAACCTTCGAAATGTGTATGTGCGTGTATACGGTTGTATGTGTGTGTGTGTGTGTGCGAGTGTGTGGGTGTGTACATGTGTGTGTGTGTGTGTGTCCGTGTGTGTGCGCGCATGCTTATGAGCGTGACTCTAACAGAGTATGATGAGGGCATGCTTTAAGATGTTGGATGAATAAGAGTTTCTGTGACTTCTACATATGACAATTTACAAAGCCACTCAGTTACTACAGTTTTGCATTCATGTTTAGTCCTATTAGCTATTAATAAAATCCTATTTATTTTATTATACAGAAGATAGCATGAGTATCTTCGACTACAGGATGTCTTATAAGGGGGCACTACGTAGTAATTTAAATCTTCGCGTAGACGACAAGGTAGTAGATGTCGGTTGACTGTGTCGGGACAGAAGTGAGTGTCGCGTCAGTACAACCTGTAGTACAAACATTTGTCGTACTGTTAGTACTTTCCAGTGGGCATATAGATCCCTTGTAGGAAAACGATATCGCTTGAAGTTTGTCACTTTGAGTACTGCTCTCTGCGCTCGTTCCACTCGTATCAAATTACTTTTTGCGGCGCCACCCTAGGATAAAATACAATATCCTATCAACGATTGGCATAATGCGTAAAAAGCTGTTTTTTAAATTTTAGGTTCTGCGACATGCCTCAGTGCCTAAAAATTTAATTAACTTAAGGATTCGTCCCGTTAAAAGAACCATGTGAGGTGTAAAACTAAGTATTTCATCTATGATCACATCTAAGTATTTTATGTTCGTAGAATTATTTAATTTAGGGCAGTTCCATGTGTGATAAGTGTTTACTGGATGATTATGTGCGATTATTTAAATCTTGCCTTATCCACAGCAACTGAATCTTATGGTAAAAGTCAAATATTTGGTCTTGTCAATATTTATAGACAAGGCATTTATTGTTAGCAAATTTATTACCTTATCAAAATCAGTTTGAGCAGTATTAAAAGCTTGGTTCCAATTATGCTCTTGAAAAATCAATGCTGTGTCATCAGCAAATGCCAGTAGTTTGTCATCCTTCAGTTCCTTAAGAAGAAAGAACTCTTCTCAGTTGGTTAAAAAAGTGGTGAGAAGAGTTCTTGAAAATATCTATTGATTAGTAAACATTCAAGATCATGCTTAGTCATGTAGAAATAACTTACTGAATGAAAATCCAAACAAGATAAAGTTTATCAAACGGCCTTAAGCCACTACTTGAGTACTTTGTGTTTTTGCGCTAGTAAACTTTATTTCACCACATTTTACATATTAATATTTATGACATGTACTACGAGTAATCATATTGTTACGAGCGGGGTATATAATAAATAAAAGTTGTCGTTTAATTACTTTTATTGCACTGTATTTACAAACTCACTATAACAAACAAGACATCACTAAATAACTCATTAGTCGCACTTGAAATTCGCTTCGATGTTAATACGCTGTATTGTAAAACGATACTGTGTCGTACGGAAAACACGCTCCGCTTTTATAGCGCTATCGAATTTACCAGAATGATCCCTAGTATTCGATAGTCCGTTCCAGACAAATAGGAATATTTCAGTATCAGTCAAGCGTTACTCGCAGCGCCATCTAAATCACAATCACAATCTCAATAGTTGTTCTTTACTCAATACTAGATGGCGTTGTCCTCCACATTCCATACAATTCTGGAACAATTGGCATTTAATCCAATGGCGCAACAATATTAGGTTAATTTAATTAAAACTCTGTTTGTGTACATTTTGCTCTACTCATGCTTGTGTCTTAATAAGCCTACAACTACACTACCTATTTTATATTACTTTTTCTATTGCTTTTATATTTTAATATACACATATTATAATTATAAAAATACATGATGAATAATAATAAAATATATCTTATATAAAAAATTCTCGTGTCACAATGTTCGTTCCCTCCGAAACGGCTTGACCGATTCTCATGAAATTTTGTGTGCATATCGGATAGGTCTGAGAATGGGCCAACATCTATTTTTCATACCCCTAAATGGTAAGGGTGACCCATCCCTAATTTTTTTTTGTTTTGCAATACAACGTTTGCCGGGTCAGCTAGTAAGTACATAAATTCCGAATCACCCGCTAGCGGTTCTTATTTCACTTTTAGTCGCTTTGGATGGAATGATGATGATGGTGACACTGCAATTCTTTTAATTATCTTCTTTAATTTAATTTTAATTAAATAGCAATCTAAGAAAAGTCATAAATTTTACTCGAATGGGTTGTGTCTAGAAATTTACAAATGTATTTATTTATCGCGTAATCTTTGGCGTTTTAGAGACAATATCTTTTAGACAATCGTCTTTATCTTTGACGGATGACCCTTACACTGTACATCTATACTAATATTTTACACAGGTAAAGTTTGTATGTTAGGGGCAATCTCCGGTGCTACTGATCTGGTTTTGAAAATTCTTTCACCGTTAGAAAGGTATCCCTGAATAGTATAGACTACTTTTTACGGCGATAACCGACCGAGCCGCGGGCAGAAGCTAGTATCTCATAAAATACACCAAAGTTACTAAAAGCACCATAAACTTCGTAATTCGTGACGTCCTCTAGATAGGAGATATAATTAGACTTGAAGACAGTCGTAGGAAAACTGAAAAAAAACCATGCGCTCGATGGTCAGGCGTAAAACACTAGTAACTAAAACTACCCAAAAATAAGTATCTAAAACATTATTCGCAAAATATTAATGTTAAAACATGTATATTTTCAGGCGGCGATGGATCAGTTCACGAAGCTGATAGCTCTAGAACTGGCTCCCCACGGAGTAAGGGTTAACACTGTCAGCCCTGGCATCACTGTAAGTAACTATAATATTAAATAGGGGCTAGGTAGTGGCCTCGCCATATTGTGTCTAAAGCCACATTTTAACATCGTTGTTGATAAAGCTTCAATATTCAGTAACCAAGACGACATATTGTCAAATTAATATTTCCTTAATTAAATTTCAACCTGTAGTGTAAAAACTATGTAAGAGTTTTTTCATTAACTTTGTCAGTGACTCACTTAGCAATCATGAAAATTCTAGGTACGTCTAGAAGACACTTTGGCTTTAAATTGTGAGCACAGTGTTTAACCTTAAAAGGCAAAGTGAAAATAAAAAATTGTGCAACTTTAATCCCGTGTTCTCTACATAACTTTTCTTAAATGCAAGTCACTCTTTAATCCTATCATAAATATGACATTTCGATTACTTTAGCAATTCACACGAAGTTTGGTGATTAACACTATCTAAATAGTGCCTATATACTATCATAAACGAACACAGAAAAGAGAGATACTACCAAAACAATAAACATAAAAAAATACATGGCTCGTAACATACTTCTTTTACCACAAAAAGTTGTAAGATCTAAAATATTACAAAAAACGATGTTAAACAATTCTCTCGTATCTTTGACCGAGTGAGTGAGGTTATTGGAGATCAAACCCAGCACCTTCCCTCCTAATTCGGGGGAGGAGTAGTTAAAGTGTGGGAACACACTTATGACTTTCAGTTGCATGTATCCAATGGCGATGGTTGGCTGCCTCACCAAGACAGGCATAGACAAAATTAGGTTCTTCAGTAATTTTAATAAGTTTTGTCTAACTCCCGACTTGCCAGATAATTAATTGTCATCATCTTTTGTTTAAAGAACATAATGTTATCACTTTTTTTCTATTCACATTTTTTTGTTTAAGGTGTCAAAATTCGTGACACGTTTAACCAACTTCACCGAAGAGGAGTACGCGAACTGGCTGGAGAAAATTTCTTTGGGGATACCCATGGGAGAGCCATGCCTAGGTCTGGATATAGCCAAGATGATCGTACACCTGGCCAGCGATAACAGCAAGCTGGTGACCGGGACCATTGTGGACGTGGATGGGGGTTATAAATTCACTATGTCTGGTATCTCCGTCACTGATTGACAATACATATCTACTAAGAGGTCGTAGTCTATGTACTTCTTCACTCGATGACTGAACGACCCATAGTTTCCAATATGAGTGTCACAATTTAATAATAAATTTAGTTTAACACCACTGAGTAAAGGATTTTATTAATACCGTCGTCGGTTAGCAGATTGTACATTATGCGCTAAAATAATTTCTAACGAAATTGACTGCCCTGAACTATTGCATATGCTTAAATTCAATGTTCCTTCCAGATATGTTAGGCATAACCCTCCAATTTCATTTCCCCCGTCATCTTCAAATTACAGAAATAAATCTTATATGGTGCGAGCGAGTAGAGATTTCAACATATCATGCAAAGAATATGATTCGGATCCTTACACTGTAAAAAGTGACGCGATCTTTGGAGATCAGCTTAAATAATACAATTGTATGCCATGCTCGTGCATTTAGTGTACTTGAATTTATATCGATACTTCTGTTATTTTACTCGTGAACACCTATAATTGGCTTTCCGTTATAAATTGATACTGCACTGATAGCTTAGTGGTTTAAGCGTTCGCCACACCGCTTACTACTACGCTGAGTGTTGTGGGTCCGATCCCTACATGGGACGACACTTTATGTGATCCACAAATTATTGTTCTCTGTGTCCGTTTCATGTACATATGTTTTTAAAGTCCCTCGCGACACAGGATTTCTTATTAGTGCAGGAGTTGTCTTTAAAAAAGAAATTTGCTCGTAGCTATTGGTTTTCCTTAAATAAAATAAACAAATTTGTTGATTCAAATGAAATTCGTTTGTAGAACCGGACATGCTTACATTCGCCGACCCATTCGTATAAGCAATATCCCTTATCTACCATTACTTTATCATCATCGTCATCGACAGCCTTTAATAGTTTACTGCTGGACATAGGCCACTCCTTAGAAAGGAGGTTTTGGCCTACTATACCACGCTGGCTAGACGGGTTGTTATAGGGGTTATGTCAAGTTGGGGTGCTGGGCTAGAAAACCTCCTCGTGGTGCACCCTGGAAACGTTGGCGATGGTACTGTTCCCTCCTTGTCCTCTTGGAGGAGAGGATTATCGCCAGCGGCCAATATTCTAGCAGAAGAGGCAGCCGTTCATCGGCTCTCGGGCAAGGCCTGGTCCAGCAGGGTGGGCGTGTCTGCCGGTTGCCCTGCTGGCTCTTCGCTCTTCGGAGCATGGAGGAGGAAACCTCGGTAAAAAACCGGATGGCGGGGCCCTGTAGGGGCCACAGTTTCTCCGCTGACAGCGGTGGAGAAAGGAGGACGGGCTCGGTGTGTACTCACACTACCACCGAGCAGGCAGGGGGACGTAGTCTCCCTGTCAACCGTCGGCATATCGTAATCCCGAGAAGAGCGCTGTGGTTAAGTCTCGCGGCTCTGATCGGGGGCGAGGGTCTTGGCTTAACCGCCCGGACCGCGAGGAAGATAACCTCTCTAAAAAATTCCCCGAATCCCGTGTTCTGGTGCGTGGCCAGGGGATGCATGGCTGATGGGAAGTTCAGTCGCGAGCGCACTCCAAGCCGAGGTACCTGCGGACCCCTCGGTTGGGTTAAAAATTTACGCTTGCCCGGGTAATGGGGGATCTCTGCCCGGGTGGACCTTTAGTTCTCCCCCACTCGTGGGATTTATTATGGAGCATATCACCAAAAATCTAAAGAAACGGCAACCAATAAACAAACAGAAACAGGCAAGCAAAACGGACTCGGAAATAAAAGAGAAGAGGAACAGTGGAGTGGATGGTTCATCCACGGAGGGTGAGATAGCGTCAGGAACGCCTATCTCGATGGGGCTCCCAGAAGTCAGTCTAACGCTGGTCTCTGGGAGCCGAAGAGCATCGGATCGTATTCGTTCCGGATCCGCCGTCTCCTCGGATGGCGCGGAGGCCATGGAGGCGGAGCGAAGCGACAGCCGAAAACGCGGACGCTCAGGGGACGTGGAAACCGACACGTCCGGCGAAATGATGCCACCAAAGGTGGCAAGCAGCCGCCGAGGGAGGGCGCGCAAACCGGCCTCGGCCCCAGTCTTAACCCCGTCAGGCTCCGCGTTCTCAAACGCGGAGTCCTACAGAAATGTACGGGTGGACGGCGAGGCCGTAGCGGAGGAGGAGATCGCGGATCTCCTGCTCAAGGTTCGGGAGCCGGTGGGGGGAAATGCTCCCCAAGCTCCCGTGTCCGTGCAGGAGAGGGCGAAAGCGGCGGTGGCCGTCATTCACAAGGTGGCCACCAAGTCCGTGAACCTTAAGGGCTCGTTTGTGAGGGCCCTTAAGGACTCCTCCTCCGCTTTGTCGGAGGTCGTGGAGGGCCTAGTGGGCGACGTTTCGCGCCTACAGGTGGCCAACGAGAGGCTGACGGAGCGGGTGAATGAGCTGAGTGCTCAGTTCGCCCGCTTCCAGGCGAACCTCCCCGAGCGGGAAGCCCCGTCCGCGTCCCAGCCTGCCCCTACCACCAACTCAGGGGCATTTGACTCCCAACTGCGAGAAATCCTCATCGCAGTTGGGAATATGCTGGACGGACGCCTGGCTGGCCTGGAGGCGAGACTGCCCCCTGCGCCGAGTATGCGCCCCCCGCTCGCGTCGGCACAGCGGCCTAAGGCCGCCGCTCCGACCGCGCTCCCCGTTGTGGGAGGCCGCGTTTCTTACGCGGCGGCGGCGTCTGCCCCTACTCCATCGGCTCCACAAAAGCCGAGGAGGGGGGCCAAGGCACCGGCCCAGACGCCGGCCAAGGCACCGGCTAAGGCGCCGGCCAAGGCACATCCCCAGGCGCCGGCCAAGACGGGGCCTAAAACGGCGCCGAGGAGCGGAGTGGCATTCCCTCCGCTCCCCACTCCGACACCCCTGCCGGGCCCCTCCGCACCTGCCCCCTCCAACGAGGGTTGGCAGGAGGCGAGGGGCTCCAAGAAGTCCCGAAGGCGGGCCAGAAAGGCTGCCCAAAAAGCAGCCCAAGCCCAGCCTTCGCCACCGGTGGCAACGGCCTCAGCAAAGAGGCCGCGGAAGCTGCAGCCGCCCAAAACCGCGGCTGTAGTTGTGACCGTGTCCCCGGAGGCGGCAGACGGCGGGCTGTCCTATGCGGCCGTCTTCAAAAAGGCCCGGGACAGCCTCGCCAACGAGTTTGGGACGGTGGGGGTCAGGATGCGCCTCGCCCAGACGGGAGCTCGAGTTCTCGAGTTCCCTGGGGCTGAAGGCGCAAAGACGGCGGACTCCTTCGCTGAGAAGCTGCGGGGAATATTTGCAGCCACAGATGGTGTCAGGGTCGCCAGGCCTACCAAGTGCGCGGAACTGCGCATCTCGGGCCTGGACGACTCAGTGACGGCCGAAGATGTCCGCGCTGTAATCCGGGAGAAGACGGGGTGCAGCGCGGACAACGTCAGGGTCGGCACCATCCGCCCCGGTCCAGGAGGGCTTGGCGCCGTGTGGGTCAGCTGTCCCGTAGCGTCGGCCAAAGTATTGCCCGACGCCGGCAGGCTGCTCATCGGTTTCGTGAGCGCCAGGATCACAGTCCTGGCGGCGAGACCGATGAGGTGTTTTAAATGCCTGGCCGCGGGACACACGCGCGTCAAGTGCGACAGTTGTTTTGACTGCGGCGGACTGTGTTTCCGCTGCGGTCAACCGGGGCATAAGGCGGCAGAATGCTCTGCCGCCCCTCACTGCCCAGTGTGTGCGGCGGGCAATAAGCCCGCCAATCACCAGATGGGGCAGAGAGGCTGCAAGCCTCCCCGCAGTTCTCGGCAGACGTCGGGGGTTAGCCAGTCGACCCAGGCTGCCTCCGATATAGTTCGTGCGTCGACGTCGTCGCCCATGGAGGAGGTTGTAGAGACGATCCAGTAATGGATCAAGTCTCCAACCTCCTGGTCCAGACGAACCTGAACCACTGTGCCGCGGCGCAGGATCTCTTCCTGCAAACCATGGCACAGTGGTCGATAGGTGTTGCCGTAGTCGCGGAGCCCTATTCTGTCCCTCCCCGTCCAAACTGGATGGGTGACTGGGACGGCTCCGTGGCAGTCGTCGGTTCCACGACGGCTCATTCCCCGCCCTTGTCGCTAAGAGACAAGGGCACTGGATATGTTGCCGTCGAGTGGGGGGGGATCACCATATATGGTGTCTATTTCTCCCCCAACCGGAGTTTGAACGACTTCGAGGTTTTCCTGACCAGCTTGGAGACCTCGATACGGCGACTAGCGTCTGGGCACGTCCTTGTGCTGGGGGACTTCAACGCAAAGTCCATTGCGTGGGGTTCCCCCAGGACGGACGCCAGGGGCGAGGCCGTAGAGGAGTGGGCGGCCTCGGTGGGCCTCTGTCTTCTAAACAGAGGCTCCACCAACACGTGCGTGCGACAGCAGGGGGGTCGATAGTGGACCTTTCGTTCGCTACCCCTGCCCTCGCCGCACGAGTAAGGAACTGGTGTGTCCTGGAAGAGGTTGAGACGCTCTCGGATCACCTGTATATCCGATTTGAGCTCTCCCGGACCCAGGACTCCAGTAGGGGTCACGTGGCGCGGCGTTTATCCCGCTTTCCGCGGTGGGCTGTTGCCAGGCTGAACCGGGACCTACTAGAGGAGGCAGCCATAATTCACTCGTGGCTGTCTCCTCAGGCTCCGACCGAGGAGGTCGACGTGGGGGCTGGCCGCTTTCGCGATGCGATTACGCATGTATGCGATGCGGCCATGCCCCGCGTTCGAGGTCGTCGGCCTCCAAGGAAGGAGGTCTACTGGTGGTCCCAGGAGCTGGCGGACCTCCGTGCGGCCTGTACACGTGCCCGGAGGTCCTACACGCGCAGTCGGCGGCGTCACCGTGGAGACGGTGAGGAGGACCGGCTTCATGAGGAGTACCGACGGGCGCGTAAAACTCTGAAGCTGGCCATTAGCCGCGCCAAAGAAGAAAAAAGACAGGAGATGCTGGAGGGTCTTAATCGTGACCCCTGGGGTCGCCCTTACCGCGCGGTGCGACAAAAGCTCCGCGCGTCGGGCCCCCCCCCTTACGGAGACTCTCCA